CCCCAAAACCCCAAAACCCCAAAACCCCAAAACCCCAAAACCCCTTTGACTCTTCAAAAATTGAAGTATTAGTTTTGAAATATCAGAAATCTAAAATTTATTTCTGATCTTACAAAGTTTCCAGATTCTAGCACTTATTAGGGCTAAACCACTATTGATGTCTATCGCATCTCTGCTAATAATATTGGAGACTTATTAAGGAGTATGAGCTTTGCTCCCTATCAAGACAAAGGCTATGCTAGCTAGAATTATCTCATTAAATTTCCAGCTAATGCAGACCCTTTTCATCAACTTTCAGAGCCAAAGTTATCCAGAGTATAAATCTTTGGTGTTTTTGAGAAAATTCAAGTGGATTCTGACTTTAATTTTATATCTTCTGGAATAGAGATTTCTAACTAAACGATTTCATTACTGAAGATTAGTTACAAAACAGCTGTTTGCTAAACACTCACATACTATCGATCCGAAGTATAGAAATGAATTTCTCAAGGCATGATTTTCACTTGAAAATTTATGTTCGTTAAATATCCGGCAAAACACAGAAAAGAGAAGTCAGACTATTTTCATAAACAGGGAGAATTCTTTGAAGGAGGTTTAGGTAATTAATCATCATAAATTTTGGTCTTACTTCCACTAACATGGAGTAGTTCGAACCCCTCAGGGACCTCTATATTCTGCTTTTCCAGCATCTCCTTTTCTAACTCGGCAACTTTGGCTGATTTGTGTTTTGGAGTTGTTGCAATCACCATTTTTCTAAAAGAGATCATGAGTTCTTTGAAAATAGTGAAATCAGTGAAGGAGGTTATTAATTCAAGGAGTTGATCATCGATTTCTTCCTTTCTTTCAGGAAGCAAGGCTGCATAATCTTCCATATTGAAATCAGCGATCATTTCTTTTAGCATTTCCTCTATGTAATTCTCAATGACCTCTTTGTATTTCTTGAAGATGTCCATGTATATCAATTTGTTTTCCTCGGTGTTTTCGAAGTGAATTCAGTTATTTACCAAAGAAGGTATTTTGAATTGTCTCAAATTCTTCATTTATCACAATCTCTTGAAGGGCACCTACGAATTCATCGAATTTGTCATCCTCTTCGTTGGTTTGGCCGTATCAGCTGATTTCAAATTCGTCTTCTTCATCGCCCATCTCGACGTCGTTAGAGCTGTTGATAAGTTCTTCTGCAATTGTAGTTGGTTCCATAATAGTCTTAATTATCAAATTTTAGATTTTAAAAAGGGGTTTTGGGGTTTTGGGGTTTTGGGGTTTTGGGG